TGGATTCCTTTTTTTTTTTTTGAGTTGGAGTCTCACTCTGTCGCCCAGACTGGAGTGCAGTGGCCGCTCCCAGCCACCGCAGCCTCGACCTGCTGGGCTCCGGCGATCCTTCTGCCTCAGCCTTCCGAGTAGCCGGAATTCCAGGCATGCGCTACCACGCTTGGCTAATTTTTTGATTTATCGTAGAGATGAGGTCTCGCCACCCAGGCGGGTATCGAACTCGCAGGCTCAGGCAATCCACTCACCTCAGCCTCCCAAAGGCGCAGGATTATAGGCTGAGCCACCGAGCCCGGCTAATTTCTTACTTCTTGAAAGCAGAGATGTAATTGTCATGTTATGCTCAGACTTGGCCGCTTTGAACAATACCATTGATCCAGAAGTATGAGAAGCGGGAGATGAAAGGGAAGGTGCTGAGCAGGAAGTACGGGCTGGGAACTAAGACTCTGCCATGCTGCTTCTGCACTGATGGGCCTTCTGGACTCTTCCACATGAGGAAAGTAGGAAGTACTCACATACTCTTTTTTTTTTAGTAGTAATGTTATTCTGTCGCTCAGGCTAGAGTGCAGTGGTACGATTACAGCCACTGCAGCCGTGACCTGCTGGGCTCACGCAATCCTTCTGCCTCAGCCTTCTAAGTAGCTGGAACCACAAGCATGCAACACCACATTCAGCTAATTTTTCAAAATTCATTGTAGAGAGGCAGTCTTACCGAGTTGCCCAGCCACTATACCTGCCCCTCTTCTTTTTATTATAGAACTATTTTGTGGGTTTAAAGTAATGACTCATCTAGCTTTTCTTAACTCAGTATTGAATAACTTGTCAAAGACAACCCACCCTGCAGAGGGAGAGCCTCGTAATTTCTAAGTAGTATTCTGTTTCCCCAGGATGTTTTGGTGATGGTCCCGAGAGTGGCTGTGTCCTGGTCTCAAGTGTAAGCACAGTAGGGTCCCTGTCTTACCCTTCCCTCTGTGCTGCTGCTATCCCTGGGAATGTGAACCTTCTGACCTATCACCTTTCTACTCCCATGTCTCAGTTTTGTCCCTCTTCAGATTATCAACTCAGTGTTAACTTCTAGAGTACTTTAATCCTATAAAAAGACTGACTCTGCCAGGCCTGATGTCTCATGCCTGTAATCCCAGTGCTTTGGGAGGCTGAGTGGGAGGATCGTTTGAGCCCAGGAATTTGAGATCAGCCCAGGCAACATAATGAGACCTTGTCTCTACAGAAAAATAAAAAGCGCAGCAACTCACACCTGTAATCCCAGCACTTTGGGAGACAGAGACGAGAGGATTACCTGAGCTCAAGAGTTCGAGACCAGCCTGAGCAACATGGCAAGTCCTCGTCTCTACAATAAGTCAAAAAATCAGCCAGACGTGTTGCACGCCTGTAGTTCCAGCTACTTGGAAGGCTGAGGTGGAAGGATCACCTGAGGCCAGCAGGTTGAGGCTGCAGTGGCTGAGAGCATGCCACTGTACTCCATCCAGCCTGGACGACAGAGTGACTCCAACTCAAAAAAAAAAAAACAGGTTGAACTCAGAATTTTGAGATGAGTCTGGGCAACATAGCGAGACTTCGTCTCTACAACAAATATAAAAATTAGTTAGGTGTGTTGGTACATGCCTGTAGTCCCAGCTACTCAGGAATCTGAGGTAGAAGGATTGTCTGAGCCTAGGAAATTGAGGCTTCAGTGAGCCAGGATCATGTTACTGCATTTCAGCCTGAGTGACAGAGTAAGACTCTGATTAAAAAAAAAAAAAAAAAAAAAAAAAGGAATGACTAACTCTCACAGGGATTGGCGTAAAGAGGGACTAGCTGGTAAGAAATAAAGAGGACTCTAAAGAATACAGGAATGGCAGATAGAAGGAGCACCCACTAGCCCTGAGGCTGAGATAGGCACCAGAGGAAGAGTTTCCACCCCCCCAGGCCCTGCCCCAGGCTGTGATCAGAATTTGTTGGGAGGGCATGGTTGTACCTCCCTGAAGGGCATGCAAAGTCACTGTGATGCTACACTAGCAGAACTTGCTAGAAACCTGCCATCTTCCAAATGTTGGCTAAATTTAATTAGGTAATATTTTAAAATGTTATTTATTAATATTGCCAAATATCTGATCTCATCAGGAAAGTCTTTAAGTATTGGGAAGTTGTCAGCTCCCTATGGCAGATACAAGTTTTCCAAAATTCCAATTTTGGGCTTGAAAGCTCAACTCTTTTCTTTTCTTTTCTTTTTCTGTGTCAGGGTCTCACTCTGTTGCCCAGGCTGGAATACAGTGGCATGCTTATGGCCACCACAGCATCAACCTGCTGGACTCAGTTGATCCTCCCGCCTCAGTCTTCCAAGTAGCTGGAACTACAGGCATGTGCCACCACACCTGGCTAATTTTTTGATTTATTGTACAGACGAGGTCTCACTAAGTTGCCCAGGCTGATCTTGAACCCGTAGGCTCAGGCAGTCCTCTCACCTCCGCCTCCTAAAGTGCTGGGATTACAGGTATGAGTTACTGCGACCGCTGAAGCTCAGTTATTTTCAAGGGCAACAAATACTGTCAATTGTTCTTCCTGAAGTGAGAGGCCCACTTTGTTTATTGTCAAGAAAATATATACTAATACCCGAGTCTGAATGACCACAGGTTTTCTGTCAGTAATTATTTTAGGTAAAATTGGTATTTCATGAGACGTGTAGCCAGTTCAGCTCACAATTCAAACAATTGTATAAGTGATTTTCCTTGAGACAGTCATTGTCTCCCAGCAGTGCTTTATGTGTAACTAAAAAGGTGTCTTTAAGGGTCCAGATTTAATAACATCAATAATGGTTATGCTATCAAGGCCATTCAGAACAGTTAGTTCCCCTATCCTGCCCCACTACGGTGAGTGCATGGTCCAGAGGTGCCACTGGCTGAGGGATTCACGCTGAAGTGCAGCAGGTCATTGCTTCCTGCTTTTGCATCATCATTGCACAAATGGATGTAGTAGAAAGGCAACAAAAAATCTTAGTGGCTTTGACCTTGTGGGTCCCTAAAAGGGTCTTGAAGGGCAAGAGTCCACAGATCACACTTGGAGAACTGCAGACACAGTGGAAAGAAAATGGGTTTTAAAGTCTGAGTTGGCTTCACATCTGAACTGGGTGACTTAGGGTGAGTGTTCATTTGTAGCACGGGCCTAAAGCATCCTCAGACTTACAGTGAGAAGCCAGAATCGTGCTAGACGAGACCCTGCACACAGCAGATGTGCAGAGAGTGTTGATCTACTCTTAAGCCTCTACTTAGAATCAAAAGAGGCTGATTCAGGCTGGGTGCAGTGGCTCATGCTTATAATCCTAGCACTTTGGGAGGCTGAAATGAGAGAATTGCCTGAGCCCATGGGTTCAAACCAGCCTGGGAAACTTGGCGAGACCTCATCTCTATGATAAATATAAACATTAGCCGGGCGTGGTGGTGTGCGCCTGTAGTTTCCAGCTACTTGGAAGGCTGAGGCGGAAGGGTTACCTGAACCCAGCAGGTCGAGGTTGTGGTGTCCATGAGCATGCCACTGCACTCCAACCTGGGCAACAGAGTGAGATGTCAACTCAAAAAAAAAAAAAAGGCTGACTCATAAACTTCAATTCATTCGCATTCAGGAAGAGAAGTCACGGTTGGGTATTGGCATGGGGTATTCTTGTGGTGGATTCATTTCACTTGCAGAAGTTGTATTGATTTAGTCAAAAGGATGTTTGCATCTTGGCTCAAATAGCTGTTCACACTCTAAAGGTCACTGCCTAAATAAGAGTGAGGTCACAGCACTCAGCTCATAAAACCACCGGGCATACTCGGAAGTGTGACAGCCGTAAGAATGTCGTCTCTCCTGTTCTCATGGACTCCAGGGGGAAATAAAGCACTGGTCTACACTATGAATCTTAACTGACTCTAAGCACCCAATCTTTTGGTCACTGTAAAGTTCTATGATGTTAAAGCCAGAAGCCACCTTCAAAATAATGAAGCCCAACCTCCATTTTACTTCTGAGACAACAGACCCAAAGGAAGTGAGACCACAGAGACACCAAGTGGTTAGGGCGTGGGCTCCACAGTCTGATGGCCCAGGTGCAAATTCTGCCTTAATCTTTTCTTGGTCACTTCACCTTAGATGAGTTCTAACCTCTCCAAGTCTC